CTTTCTTTGCCTTTATAATTATTTTCCTCTTTTCTCGTTTCAAATATTATTTGACAAGTAGCCAATCCATTTGCTTTTAAGGTTTTCCTTGGTGTTGTGATAAGAGCTGAGTTAACCCATCCATATTAATAATCTCCATTATTTTTATTATCCATTGTTCTATTGGCAGACATTGTTGAGGAAACAGGTTGAAGTATGAAAAGCCATAGGTTATGTTACCAGGGGCTTGCTGCTATGTAACTTTTCCAAGGAAGCCAGGATTAGACAATTCTCTATTTTAGACACAGGCTGAAAATGCCTGGTACCTTTTGTTGTCTTTTACCTGTGCTCATATCCATCTTGTATGGCTTCAACCAGTTTTAATCTCGTATTAAATCCCGTATTAATCCCAGTTTAAACTTTTGCTAATTTCACCCAATGGTGTATTACATCAGTTGTTTGTTGTTAATATTGTTAACCTTGTATATTTTGTACACTTACGGAGCAATAGGGGTCTACGGACCATAATAAAATATTGTTGTTGTTTTATACAGAGAAGACATGTCTGAGGGTAAGTTTATAGACAGTGCCAGCTGGTGGTTTCCATGTCAACATGACAAAGGGTCACTCTTCATGAACTGTTTTTTTTTTCAACTCTTGGAGTTATAGCAGTTATTTTTTTAAAGTAACGTTGCCAAAAGACATCTTACAGGGGGCTTCTCATCAAATCTGGTCCACTATCTCCCTTATCTTTAGGAAGATTGGCAGGAGTATATCCCCCTGTTCTATGGTATCTAGTACAGCCCACTGGGCTTTCTAAAGGCATGAAAACATTAAGCCTATGTATTAAACCAGGAAGGAAGAGAGTTCTATTTTTTTCATAATTACATACAAAAAAAATGTAGGTCTGCCTTCCTTCTTCCATTGACACACTTTCCAATTCTTTGGAGATTTTTTTCAGAGACATCAGACAGCCTCAGAACAAACCATTAAAGCCAGTTTCAGAGAAACATTAGTGAACTTAAGCCATTGGAATCAATGGAAATTCAGCACATCACTAAAAATGCTTACATCCAATTGATTTCATTCATTTTGTCTAGATGGTACCCTAAGGCTAAACTCAAGTTGTAGGTTTAGAGAGTATGATATTGTTTCCCAGGGTGTACACACTCATTTCTTTTGTCCTGCTGTCATTTCTGCTTAAGCAGGTTTTACATGTTTTTGAAGATTGGATGAAAGTGCACACATGACTAGCAGGCTTTTCTCATGATACCTCTCTGGGAGTAAAAAGCAGTTCTCTGTTTCCATTCTTTAAAAGGACTTCCAGTAGCATCCGCTGAAAAGCCCAGTCCTGTGAAGCTGAAACATTTGGGTAATTAGTTATTTTAGGAAGCAGTCATACACATAAAATAGCCAACAACAAGTCTAAGAATGTAATTAAATTTGACACTATACTCTGTGGGTATATTTTTTTTCTTTTCTCTTGAGAAGGCATGGGGGAAATTAAGGAATTATTATATTTTCTTTTTGAATTCATGTTTAGTAAGTATTCTATCCATCAAATAACATCAACTGAAAAATAAAAAGGGGATACATATCTACCACCAAGCTACAACAACATAAACAACAGACAAAAAACAAATGTCAACACGTTGGGGGGTAAAGACAAAAGAGAAAGAAAAGAGCAGGAGGAGAGAAAAGGAAAAAGAAAAATTAGAAACTGGGCTTTCTGCTTTGCTTTTAAAGAATTTAGAAAGTAAATTCTTAAAATTTATATAATCTACCACTTCTTTTATATTTTATATATTCTTCAATTCTTTAATTGTGAAATAGAGTTCATTTTCAAACCCAAAAATGTATTTTTACTCTCTCTCAAAAATATAAGAAATGGCTTCCAGTGTTCTATATAATTATCAATTGTGTTTTCTTTTGTCAATATAGTTAGTCTGTGCATTTCACCAATTTCAATGTTTTTGTATCCAACCATTTACTGAGATGATTTCCATGTTCTTCCATAATTGTACATAAGAGCATTCTATCTGCTGTCACTATATAGATTACTCTTTCGCCATTGGGTACTAGCCATGCAGGAATACACAATCAAAGCACTCCCAAGAGATGGCCATCCAGCCTCTGTTTAAAAACCTATAAACAAGGAGACTCCGCCATACACCAAAACAGCACATTCCACTTACAGACAACTCTTGCCAATGGAAAGTTCTTCCTCATGTTTAGGTGAAGTCTAATTCAGCTAATTGTAGCTTTTTGTTCAGTCGACTCTGAGAAGTCAAGCTTACCAGGTTTGGAAACTGTGCTTTCAAATTTACTTATTACTCTGGCTTATTGTGAGCCTAGGGGCCATTGTTTCTGTGTCTGACCTTAATGGGAAATGGATTAAACAGAGACTTGAGGCTTTTTGCTGAGAAGGGAGGAGAAAGGACTTTGTACACAGAGTGTTGGTTTTTGCAAATTGTGGTACGGGTTTTATAAGGGACCTAAGTGGTTTGTGGACTTGTAAAAAATAAAAGTAATTTTACAAACACCATTCAGAAAGTGTTGTTGAAGGCTTTCATGGCCAGAATCGCTGGGTTTCTGTGAGTTTTCCGGGCTGTATGACCATGTTCCAGAAGCATTCTCTCCTGGTGTTTTGCCCACATCTTTGGCAGGCATCCTCAGGCAGACCTCACAATCTCTGAGGATTCCTGTCATAGATATGGGTGAAACATCAGGAGAGAATGCTTCTGGAACATGGCCATACAGCCTGGAAAACTCACAGCAACTCAACCATTCAGAATCTTAACATCTCAGTATTTCTTTGGTATTGACAGAATATTGTCTAGCACAGGACAATAGTGATATGTCATTGTTCTTCCTACCTCTATGGAATATGACTGTTGAGAGGGAGTATAGTTCATTTTAGAATGTATGCATATATATATATATATATATTAAGGTCTTGGGAATGCCAAGCCCAATTAATTCCCAACAGTTTAGCTTTAAAGTCACAACTGGTTGTGTTGACCCTCAAGTCACAGTGGGTGTCCTATTCTTTTAGCTAGGTCATAGAACTTAGATATCTACAAAGCCAAAGAGCAGCATGCAAACTATTTCTGGTCCTTTGTTTGTCACCGTTCCCATGTCAATGATCCGATAAAGTCCTCTGACATACATAACGAATGGTTCTATTCCCCCCTCTTATCTCATTTGCCCTTCCTTTTCCCTCCACATCCCACTCCAGTTTATTTTCCATCATGACCCCAAAAGCGTAATTTCAACCCTTGATCTTTAAAAAAAGAGAGTAATAATGCATATTAAATTATTTTAAGGAATTGTTCCTGGTTTGCTTTTAGTTTCCAGGGTGTCATATTTTGAAATCCAGCTCTGCTGCCGTGTTGGAATTTCCTCTTTCTGGCTGGCAGATTACCCTAGTGTTTGACAAATTGAGACTAAATGTAATGCCATAGTCCAATTGCAAAATGGACTACATTTCCAAACCCGTTTTAATGCAGTAATGTGAAGTAGGCTCATGTTGAAAGTCATTGCTTTCAAGGATTAATATTCTGTACTTCGAGAATGCTACAGTGCTATAGCTGGATTGTGCTGTAGTTCGTGGCAGAAATATGAGGTGACAGCTTTGAAGCAAGCATAAATTTCAGGCAACATTTGGAACATTTGAAATAACAACAAAGATTTCAGGAGTCATTGAACTAATTCCATATGTGCCTTATTTAAGGTTTATGTTTGTCCTTCTTGGACATGGCAAACCACTTGCAAAAGGAAGATATTGCCAAAAGTAGTTTTGAACGGCAAGGCCAGTTCTAACATTCAGCAGATTGTGGTGGCTGCTTTGTGTGACAGATACAGGTGCAGAGTGACGTGTTAAATGCTGTCCCTTTTGCAGTGTTGAAATAAAGAGTCAGCTATCAGTCTTTTTGGCTTCTAAAGATGAAGCTGGAGAGGGATATTATTAGATATTTCTCTCAAGATGCAAAATTACTTTGGCTGATTTTGAATGAATTCTGTCAAGTTACTTGGGTTTATCCTTTCCCCAAATTTCTCTGAAACGTCTTCTGTCAAAGGCCATTGCCTGGAGCATACGTGAAAGAACCAGGATTAAAAAGCAGCCAACTACTTCTTTTTAAAATATAATCATAGGCAGGAGACTCTCGGGTCTAATTGGATGCCCCTGTGTCTTGAACCCTTTACTCTTTCAGGGCCATTCTAGAAACCAATATGCAATATTCAGGTTGGATTTAGAATCAGTAAGTTTGTCATTCTTCCAGTATACTTCTACAACATTTGGAAAGGGTTGCCTATCTGCTTTTTATGTCTTGTTTCCAGCATCTTATAGAAGATCTTATAAATAGTTTTCAGTTCTCTTTTGAATGAGTGGGTATTTAGACAGGTCATGCAGAAAGCACCCTTGCTGCCTCTGTATTGAACGTATCTCTGAACTGAACTGCTTTTCAAAACATTTAGTTTTGAGGGAGAAAAAAGAATACAACTTTGCCTGTATAATTAAGGCCGGAGTAGAAATATTCATTAACTTAAAAAATAAGTCCAAACAAGGCTTTTGCTTTGCATAGAAATTAGAAAACATATTTGTATGCCTGTTTCTGAGGGCTTTTAAACACTATACTGCAGGCATGGGCAAACTTGGGCCCTACAGGTGTTTTGGACTTCAACTCCCACAATTCCTAATAGCCTACTGGCTGTTCGGAATTGTGGGAATTGAAGTCCAAAACATCTGGAGGGCCCAAGTTGCCCATGCCTGCTATACAGTCATAGTGCTGTGATTCCATTTAACTGTCATGGTTCCATCTCATGGAAACCTGGGATTTGCAGTTCAGGGAGGGGGATATTTCAAGCCAGAAAGCTGCAAACTGAAAGTCCTAGGAGTACATAGAATATTTCCTTGGCAGATAAAGTGGAACTATACTATGAAGGTGTTGTATCAAAGGGCCAAGTTTGATATAGATATGTATTTGTGCATTCACTTTCTTCACCATGCTTTTTTACAGAGACGCAGGGACTTCCTCCAACTGATGCTTGATGCCCGAAGTTCTGGTGATGATGTCACTGTGGAACATTTTGACTTAGTCAACCAGGCTGACTTTGGTGTTAAGAGAAGTGAGACAGCTGCCAGCCAAAGCCTACCTAAGAAACTGCAGAAACGACTGAGTGAGGAGGAGATAGCTGGCCAGGCTTCCTTATTCTTGGTTGCTGGCTATGAAACTACTAACAGCATGCTCTCCTTTGCCACTTACCTGTTAGCCACCAACCCCAGCTGCCAGGAAAAGCTCCTTCAAGAGACAGATGAGTTCTTTTCTAAACATGTAAGTAAACAATTTGTTCCCTTTTGTACTTTTACATAAAACTGGAATCGGGGAAAGAATCCTTAGCAAGAGAGAGTTAAATTTCCTGAACAATTTTAGCCAAGACAAAGTATGCACCTTGTTATACTTAGTATCCTTAAATGCAAAACTTCAGATCAAAAGCAAACACTGCCAAAAGCCATCTCTCAGATCTAGCCAGTATATTGCTCTTTCTGTGAAATTTGACTTAAAAAGAAATTATGTAGCCAGTAGTCGTAGGCCCAAAATTTGTCCCATTCGTTTCATTCATGTTTCCATTTCGTTCCGTCCATTCGGATGACACGAAATGGAAAGGCCCCTCCTGAAACAAAAATGCAATCAATATGAAAGGCAGATGGGGGGGCTGGCATTGCCTGCTGTGAAGTGCCAAGTAAGGAGTGCTCATTACTTGGCACTCAGCTGCAATCCCTGCCAGGCCCAGGTGTGTAGTCCCAAAGCCTGCACCCATAGTCCCAAAGCACCCAGGCATATGGGTGCAAGCTTTGGGCCTATGCACCCGGGCCTACATCCAAGTGCCGAGTGAGGATGAAAACAGATCGGAGACCCCACTGAAAGCCAGGACATGAAACGGATCAAGGTAAGTCCCAAATGCACATGACTAGTAAAGTAAGTCCCGAACACCTTCTCCGTGGTGGCCCCTCAGCTCTGGAAGGCCCTTCCTAACAAGATTAGATCTGCCCCCTCCTTTATGACCTTCTGGAAAAAGCTCAAACTCTGGTTATGGGATCAAGCATTCACAGAATAGATGGTTTTAACAGACTTTTAAGTTGATGACAATGGGTTGAATATGGTTTTAACGGACGGTTTGAACTGACGGCTATGGATTGATTTGGAGGATGACATGAAATGGTGAATTGTTTTAATGTATTTATAACTTTTTAATGTAGGTGAAATGTATTTTGTGCTGTGTATTGTTTGGCACTGAATGGCTTTTGCTGGTAGCCATCCTGAGTCCCTCTTCGGAGCCGAGAAGGATGGGATAGAAATGCTCTTAATAAAATAAATAATAATAAATATATAGTAACCAAAACTTTGTGTTTTCTCAAACACATCACAACTGTACCCTTGGTTTGCTCCTGAAACAATAAATAAATATCTTGACCTACTCCTTGAGCCTAACACAAACCAATGCAAATGCTTCCTGCAGGACCTTATGATGATTCTGTTCAATAATCTCAGCCTTTATTCATAGTTACTTTTGTATCCCCTATGCTTGCAATACTTCAGTGTAAGATGCTTGAAATTTAGTCAAGGAATTTAGTTATATATAGCATAACATTTGCTTGTCAGTTTAGAATTATCTCAGGTCCTGAGGTTTCTGGACCAAAACGTGGGATTGGGCCCTGGTTATATCATTAAGTCCTATGCATCAAGTGCCAACTACCATTGCACACAGCTTGTCATTCAGATACCCAGAAATACCATATTTTGCATTTTAAAATCAAGACAGAAATCTTAGTTAATGGGATTGTTCCCAGATTAAGGTAAAATGAAGAGAAAGATATAATTCCTTCTCACTTTGTTAGACAGAAAGTATAAAGAACATTTAATCCAGCCTTCTTGTTTCTAGCAGAAGGTAGATTTAAAAACCATGTAAAGACCTATCTCTTCCGGCAGGCCTACCCAGCTAGCCTTTAAGCATGAATTTTAAATGTGTGCCTTGTGTTTAATCTCTGTTTTGTGTATTTCAATATGTATTTTGTAGAAATATGCTTTAATATGTAGCTTTTATAGAAATACATTGTAATATGTAGATTTGTAGTATTTTTACAATGTTCGTGTGTTTTAAATTTTCTGTAACCCACTTTGAACCACAAGGAGAGGCTGGTAAGAAATAAAATTGTTGTTATTGTTATTATTAATAGATTCAGAGTAGAGTGGAGGGTGAGCCCTGATGTCATAACAACTGAAAGGAAAGGAGGAAGCTAACTAAACAAATATATAAAACTTCCCGGAGAGTTTTTGCAAGTTATAGCAGAAAATTAATTAAGTCTTGCAACATATGGCAAGTAACTGCTGTACTGGCTGATCTGGAAATCTATATACAGCTTTTCCTAGAGGTGAAATCGCCCAAACTAGAGAATTTGCATTCTTGTTTTCTACCTGGAGATGACCCATGAAATTCTGAGATTCTGGGCCATGCCATGAGATCCAACAACTCCTATATGCTAGTTTGTGCAAGGAGCATACGACTCCCCTGATGGGTCAGCTCCACAGGCTGCCAGTCTGCTACCGAGCACAATTCAAAGTGCTGGCTTTAGCCTTTAAAGTCCTAAACGGTTCCAGCCCAGTTTACCTGTCCAAACGTATCTCCCTTGGAGGCTAAGATCATCAGGGGAGAAGGCCCTGCTCTCGGTCCAACCCCTCACAAGCGCAACTGGTGGGGACAAGAGACAGGGCCTTCTCAGTGTTGGCCCCACATCTAAGGATCTTCCTCCCCAGTGAAATTAGATCAGCCCCCTCCCTCCTGCCCTTCAGAAAAAAATCTAAAAACATGGCTCTAGGTCAGGCTTTTGGTCAATAATGGGAGCAGTGCAATAAGAGACTATAAATTAATTTAACAATGACCCGGCCTGACCCCCAGAATAGGACCTGGATTATGTGATTTTAATTGTTGTTTTAATGTTATAATTGGTCTGTCTTAATATTTTTGCTTATTCATTGATGTTTATGTATATGTGGCATTAAATTGTTGCCTTTGTAAGACCACCTTGAGTCCCCTTCAGGGTTGAGAAAGGTGGGATACAAGTATAGTAAATAAATAAATTGACCTTTCTCAGATATGCTATCCTTCCCAAGCTTCAAGTTTGTATTCAGATGCTATAGCTAATTTGACATTCAAGATCTTAATATTATTGTATCAAGGAATGTGGAAATGAAGGCAGATAAGTATCAGTCTGAAATACTTGGCATCAGTTTGTGTAAGTGTTTTGTGTTCTCTAACCATTGTTTGCTTTCCCTGTTGACCTGGTGTGTCAGAGTGTTTCAGAGCAGTGGAGAGGCATTTAAACCCAATACGTCTAGTCTCAGAAATATAAGAAGAATGTATAAGAAGTGTTAGAACTCAAAGAAATAAAAATATTAAGAGTAATGTTTATATTATTCAGTAATCCTGATATTTGTCATTGCTCAGATGTTCTCAGGTGAAATCTGATACTGCATGTTTGCTTTTCTGTTGATTACCCCCTATGAGAAGTCTGTATGTATTAGAATATATATATTTATTAGACAGCTTCCTTAGGGATGTGTTGTTGAAGGTTTTCATGGCCAGAATCACTGGGTTGCTGTAAGTTTTTTGGGCTGTGTATAGCCATGGTCCAGAAGCATTCTCTCCTGGCGTTTCGCCTGCATCTATGGCTGGCATCCTCAGAGGTTGTGAAGTCTGTTGGAAACTAAGAAAATGGGGTTTATATATCTGTAGAATGTCCAGGGTGGGAGAAAAAACTCTTGTCTGTTGCAGGTAGATGTGAATGTTTCAATTGGCCACCTTGATTAGCGTTTAATGAGCTAGCAGTTTTCAAGGTCTGGCTTCTTACTCCCTGGGGGCATCCTTTATTGAGTGGTGATTAGCTGTCCCTGATTGTTTCTTGGCTGGAGCTCCCTTGTCTTTATTTACTGCTATGATTTTAGAGTTTTTCAAAACTGGTAGCCAGATTTTGTTCATTTTCATGGGTTTTTTTCCTTTCTGTTGAAATTGTTCACATGCTTGTGGATTTCAGTGGCTTCTCTGTGTAGTCTGACATGATAGTTGTTAGAGTGGCTCAGCATTTTTGTGTTTTCAAATAAGATGTTGTGTCCAAGTTGGTTCATCAGGTGCTCTGCTATGGCTGACTTCTCTGGTTGAAGTAGTCTGCAGATAAGAGTTCTTTCTCCCACCCTGGAACACTGGAGCTGGTGTCTGGGTGGCATAGAAGGCCATGGAGGAAGGAAAAGTAGAAAAACATTCCATACATATCTACAGATGTGCACTAGCATAATACTGGATGTATATATACCACTGATTTCTGAGATCAGGGATAGCCAAAGAAGTGTCTGAATGCTTCAGTTTGCTGCACACCTCCTCTGCAGGCTACTATGTTACACATATCTTAGCCCTCCCCCATTTCCTGTGCTTTCCCCTCCCTCTTTTCTCTGTTTATATTCAATATAACTTTGAAGTACAAATAATTAAAACTGCAAGTCAGTGATTTTCAAGGCTATGATGAAATTTAGAACTGTTGTCTGCATATTTTGCCATATATCTCAACTTAAGGTGAAAGAAGAAAGCGCAAAAGCCGGGTTGCAGCTAAACGTCAAAAAAACCAAGATTATGGCAACAAGAATGATTGACAACTGGAAAATAGAAGGAGAAACCGTGGAGGCCGTGACAGACTTTGTATTTCTAGGGGCAAAGATGACTGCAGATGCAGACTGTAGCCAGGAAATCAGAAGACGCTTACTTCTTGGGAGGAGAGCAATGTCCAGTCTCGATAAAATAGTGAAGAGTAGAGACATCAGACTGACAACAAAGATCCGCCTAGTCAAAGCCATGGTATTCCCTGTAGTCACCTACGGATGTGAGAGCTGGACCTTAGGGAAGGCTGAGCGAAGGAAGATCGATGCTTTTGAACTGTGGTGTTGGAGGAAAGTGCTGAGAGTGCCTTGGACTGCGAGAAGATCCAACCAGTCCATCCTCCAGGAAATAAAGCCCGACTGCTCATTGGAGGGAAAGATACTCGAGACAAAGTTGAAGTACTTTGGCCACATCATGAGGAGACAGGAAAGCCTAGAGAAGACAATTATGCTGGGGAAAGTGGAAGGCAAAAGGAAGAGGGGCCGACCAAGGGAAAGATGGATGGATGGATGGCATCCTTGAAGTGACTGGACTGACCTTGAAGGAGCTGGGGGTGGTGACGGCCGACAGGGAGCTCTGGCGTGGGCTGGTCCATGAGGTCACGAAGAGTCGGAGACGACTGAACGAA